AGTATTCAACTGGTACCACTACAGATTGGGGTATCTCTTGAGCTCTGTCTGCCCTGTTACAAATCTGAAGTTGAGTAGGAAAGAAAAAAGTTTGTTTCTGAGAAGTGCCAAAAAGCAACACATTCCTTCCCCATTTTATTCCATGCTTAAGCCAAGGATGTTGTCAATAGGATTATTGTCACAGCCTCAGCAGGGACTGAGCCACCTGTATACCAGGAACTCTGACCACAGCTCACCTTTATGCTGCTCTTTCAGAGCCAGGGTATCCACAGGCATCCCAACAGGATGAATTACAGCACTTCACAAGGTGGGAAGACTCTGCCATCATGTAGAGGGAGGTGTGAGGGATCAGTGGGTGAGCAGGAAACCTCTGGCATGAGGACTGTCCTCTTAGCAGCAGCTCCAAGGCAAGACTGTGGGCTGAGGAACTGTATGTGATGGCCTTTACCAGTAAGACTGGGAAGAGGCTGAAGCTCCTTTTACTGTCCCATTTCTCCCTCCCAAAATACCAATACCTGTGTAATAACAGCATTTAAAAAATATATATGTAGCTCCATTTTGTAAAGAAATTAATTATTATTGTTAATACAAATGATGGTTAACAGATCTGGTTTTCATATTACAGAAGCAACTGATACAACAGCACTGATAAACCAGCCAACATCAGTATCAGCAGTGACAATACTGGTCCATTAAGTAGCATCACACAGGAAAGAACCAAAGCATTTAGCAGCTGTCCTTGGCCAAAGGCTGACATGCTGTGTAATGCCTGATTGTAATGTGTTACATCAGCTTTTCAAATGCTAATCACAAACTGCACTGCACAGAGCTCTTCTGCTCCAGAGCCAGCCCTCACACCACCTGACTTCTCTACTGGAGGAAAAAAATACCATCATGCAAAAATCCAAGTGGAGTGTTTTTCCTTCTTGAATCCAAGCAGCTCTAGCCTTCCTGGCAATTTGGTATTACCTGAATTCAGTGGGGTTAAAATGGCATAGGATGGAAGATAGTAAATAGTCATATGGCAGAAACAGTCCATTTTATGCCAGAGGGAGAATTATGAAATAGAAGTGCCAGTGGACCTAGCAGGATGGCAATCCTAGGAAGGAGAGAAATGAGAGTATCAAAGAAACAGGCATTTTAAACCCAGGGCACTCCCACTGTTCAGGCACAGATTCTTTCAGTTTCTGTAATTGTCCAATGTAATTAAAAAGAAAAACCTCTGGAAAAGGCAAACAGTGTTACTCCTCAAATAGAAAAGGAACTGAGCCACAAAGACTGGATGTAATTTCTAAGCTCAGGAACAGTGGCCAAATATCAGATAAAAGTAGGTTGTTCTATATCTTAACAAAACAGTGTTTTAATTTATGATTTCCTTTTTGGGAGAGTATTGAAAGAATTCAGGAACAGTGACAGGAATGTAGAGTCTCTTGAAAGTCAAGGCTGACCTGACTGCTCAAAGAAATGCTTTGACCATGCAAGTCAAGGTCAGAAATCCTGTTGTAGTTTGTAAGTGTCACAACAGACTTAAAGATAGAATTTAAAAAACTGGGACTGCATCAGTTGTAAGTGCAGCAAAAAAAAAGCTAAAGGCAAACTATGAAGCTGAAAAAGAAATGGGAACCACAAACTTACCTGCCAGCAAGTGATGAGTACAACAAGAAAGGGAGAGAGGCAAGACATTGATATCACAGAGCCCTGGTCCTGGCAACTTAAACATCAAATTCCCTACTTTCCTTTTTGATGGAGTTAAGCCCTCAAGAACAAAGGATGCACTTGTACTCTTCTAGGCTGGAATTTAAATTGAAGTTCTTTTTGCTAAAACACGTGATGTACACAGTATATATTAGGATTATCTTCAACAACAACAAACCCCACAAATCCCACAAAAGAAACCCCAAAACCCAGAATATTTTTTCCAGTATTTTATTATATAAAAAGTTGATTGTCCATTGGAAATTTTTCACAAAGTGCAACCACATCTTGTGTAGTATCATTGACAAACTGCTTTTTCTGAGAAGAACAGTTGGGTTAAAAATATAACAGTAACTTAGCAAAGTTAGTTATAGCACTAGAACAGAGAAACCACTAAACTGATGGGAGAAAGACAGCAGATGTCTCAAAAACATGATTTTCTATGTACCTGTCATGAAAACATGATTTTCCATGTACCTTGGTATGGAACTGAAAACAGGAAATAGTAAGAGCTCCAATTACCACTCTAATTGCTGAAATTAGTTTTAAAGGCGGTATCTGAATGCCCTGGATATAGAGCCAAAAAATCCTGTTATTGTAAAGCCTGAGGGGACTCCAGTGAAGAACCCATCTCTGAGGTACTTATGGAACATTAGTGGCCTTAAGGAACTTTTGGGAGATACTTATTTTTACACATATATATGTGTGTGTGATATTGTGTTTGGGCCTCCTAAATCATTACCAAATAACATTTGCTCATGTAACACTGTACCAGGAACTAGTGCAAGGGTCTCAAGGACTTCACTAGTTTTAAAAGGCAATCTAAGGTGTTTTGGAGCAAAGAACTGTGATACCAGAGAAAGACTGGCTGGTAAAGCAGCTCCTGCCAGAATGCCTCATTATACTTACTAGGGTATTTCAGCATTACTTGAGTGCAAAGCATGAAAAAGGGGGAAGAAAAATGGAAGACAAAAACCAAATAAACTACTTGAAGGCAGCATTTTGTATTTTATATCGAAAAAGCAATTGCCAAGTCATTTCACCTCCTAAAAACCTACAAAAACCCACCCCCAAACCCAAACACGTGAAAATGTAAGCCATGTGGCTCAAGCCATGCCTGCATTGGGCATGGGCAACTGAATGACCCAGAAACAACCAATCCAAAAAAAAATCCTGGTCAACTGGCTGGTTGAATTCCAACAAAGCTGCTTTTAACTGCAAAGAGGAAAGACCCAACCTACTGCAAATGCAGATTTATGCATAACTAAAGTATTTATTCTCAAAGGCTGCGTTATAGCTACAGTGCAGCAATTGTTTCTCATTCTCCAACTCAATTTGTCAAAAAAATAAATGTTTATGTTTCATAATATTAGGAGAGCTACAAAGACTGCATTTTCACCTGTTTCTGATCAAAATCTGAATTGTCATCTCTATACCATAGATTTATGTTGTAAAAAACAAAACCTCATTAATATTTTTATAGTTTCATCTGACCTCAGTTCTCCTGAGATGAGAAGCAATATTGTTTAAAAAGGGTGGTGCAAACCCAGAATACATGAGCAAATGATAAATTAGTTATGAACCAGAAATGAACTCCACATCTCTCCTAACCAAATATCTACTGAGACTCTTCTCAGCTCCACTGCACATTTGGATTAATGCTAGAATCTAAAAGTAATACAGTTAATCCTGAAGAAACACAGGATTTCCATTTTTCCACTGAAACAGGCACGGACTTGTTTAATGAAGTGCAGCTGGAAAGGTTTCTTTAATCCTAAATTCATACAAATATAATTAAAACTAAATAAAGCAGATCACCTGGAACCTTCATCAACATCATTTAGTCCTTATACACAGAAACCGAAGATGAGTTACTCTGCCTCTTGAATACCTAACTAAACGCAGAATTATTTAAAAGGGTTTACTACTCAGTGAAACAGTTAAGTTTAGTGACATCTTCTATTTCTGAACAAGCACTCAGTCACAGTTTCATACTTTTGATACTGAAGTATTCCACAAGGTCAACCATTATGGTTCAGTTAGGACCTTTTATCCAAAACACTTGGATTTTAGCACCTTAATAAAGAGTAAAAGTAACATCTTACTAGTACTGAATGAAGACAGTTAACACTGTGCTCATCCTCTGGAAAATGATATGGACCATACTACTAGGTGCATTTAGTCCCTACAGGTAGTAAGGCAGAAGGGAAACAGTTCTAAGTAATGCAATTGACTGACTACAATCTGAATAATAAAACCTTCCCAATTATACAAACTATTTGCTCCCATGCATCAAACTTCAGAGTATTCAAATCAAATGGTCACTCATAATCAACCACATCAGTCAGGAATCTGTACCCTCAAGAAATAATATGATCTGGTTATTAAGCATCAGTCAGTGATATGTCTAACTCAAAGTGTAACTCAGTTCTGTAACTAGTGCTCTTCCAAATACTTAAACAAACCATTAAATCAGTAAACCAAATTAACTTCAGACTTAAAGCTATTTCCTCTAGCTCACTGTCCAGTTAAAGGGGCACATGCAACATGTGCTTCCACAGGCACACTTCTTTGGCAGCAACCTGAATGCCCTGAATTTGGCTCTCCCTTTCACCCTGACACTGTTTATGCAGATGCTGTAATTCCATTAACATCCCAGCATCACTTCTGGAGGGCACAGAATCTCCTTTCTGCATGGATCTGGAGTGCATTAGCCAAGTACCTGCCTAGCTTCTATCATGCTCCGAAGCACTTCCATGGATTTCTTAGGACACAACAGGTTCTGTTTATTTTAAAGAAACAGGCAGCCTAACCAAACATAACTAGTCCAAACCCTGTTACTTCAGGCATCTTTGGCCACTGTAACACTATTCTTTGCAACTTTGGCCAGTTTTGTGCCAACTGTGTCTATCAAACTAGCTTCCAAGAGAATCTTTTCCCACTGCACTTGACTGTCTGGCAGCAGCTGTGAATCAATGCCCAACCTGCACACCCAAGATGGACTACACATGAACATCAGTGTATTCTAAGACCATAATCCTTTTTATCCATTAAATTAAGTTTGTGATGTTAGACACACAGGTTTGTATGTTAATATTAAACACCAACAAAAGCATAAAAAATTACTAACTAAAGTAGTCAATTGCTGGTATGAAGCATTACCTTTCCTGTAATTAAACAAAAGGCCAACAGTAATGAGAAAACTGGTGAATTTCAACACAAAAATTTAAACCACAGTAGTCTCTGCTTCTTTCCTTCCCCCCCTCAATAAACCCAGGACTCACAAGGAAATTCCCTTCAAGAAGCAGCAGAGCAGGATTCAGTCTGGGCAATATGTCCATCATAGCTCCTCTCTCTCTTTGGTCGCTCGGTTGTCCTCTTTGACGCTGTTAGATTTGTTCTCTGCATCTTTCTTCTTCTTTGCTTTTTCAGGTTTTGTTTTGTTTTTCACTTTCTCATTTCCTTCTCCTCCTTTGCCAGGATAAACCTGACCTTCCAGGGTAACATCTGCACACCTTTCTTGATTTATCAGGAAGTCCTTGATCTCCCAGGCGTAGCCACCATCGCGCAGCATAAAGATGGCTCTGTTGGAGCCAACAATAAACCTAGAGGAAAGAGCCATAATTTTTTCAGTTAACTCTGTGCTTTTCAAACACTATAGTATTTGCTTAATTCAGAGAACCTACATGACTGAGGCATATGTTTAAGAGCAAGCAGCTGGTCGTCTTGTTGTTGCCTGGGGATTAGGACAAGAGAACAATTTTCTAGGACACATAAGAATAAAATGTAGTAAGTTTATAAATCACCAAGGAGGCATGAATATGAAGAAAACTTAAGCACTAATTTGGCACTACGTAAAATCCACTAATGGGCATTAAATTTGCTTTATAAACTTACTGCCTTCTCAGCCCCAATACAAGGGCACAACATTCTTCTGTTTCAAAATGATCCTCCCTCTCAGAGAAAAAAAAAGAAACCGCATTTTTACGCCAGCAGAAGAAAAAGCCTTTTGTGGTGACAAGTCTTCCAAGTGTGATGTTGTCCATCACACACATAAAGGCTGCTACAGCAGCTAGAACAGATAAATAGCCGAAACGTAATGAGATAAAAACAAACTAGGCTATAAACACACACACTGTGCATGTTAAAAAGACTTGTGCACCACACCAAGATTTTTGTAGATTGACTTGAAACAAATTGGCTGAACAGTTAAAAGGTTTGCAGGAAGAAGGAACCAAGGGTTCTGCAAAAGCAAGAACTTTCTCCTGTGTACGACAGCTCACCTTTGCACATCGTAGTTGGCATTGAAGAGACTGCCCTGCCACAAGCTAGTGATTTCTTCTGTCTCCTTTTCTGTGGGATTTCCTGACACTGTGACAAACATCATCAAAGTCTTCCCCTTTTTTGTCAGCTTCAGGATGCTTTCAGGCTTGCCTGGATCAATTTTTGAGAAATCTATTGGTGCTGGAGGCCTCTTGTGTTCAGGAAGATCTCCCTCTTCAATGTCATCATCCTTCTGTGTTGAAAAGGATAAGGAGACTTTAAGCTCAACTGTTTCACAAAGATGTTCCTTTTAAAATTACTCTCTGTTCAGAGAATTAACTCTGGTAAAATATTTTTTACTTTAATGATGGAGATTCTGAAACCAAAAGAAATAGTGACTTTGGTTTTGGGATACTTCACCAAGAGTGCAGTTTCCATTTATAACCCTCCCCTCAAAATGATGTGCATTTTCATACTGAAAAGTACAATCTTATCTTACCACGTACTGAGAAATATTTCAGCCTCAAGGATAATTTAATACAATTCCACCTAGGAAACTCATAAACCAATTTTTTCTTCACAGTTTCACAAAAATGTATTAAGTGTACAAGATGAAATGTGAAATTGCAATAAAAAAACCTCACACAAATAAATTTTAAAAAAAATAATTCATCTGCATATTGCTTTCAGAGGTCAAAACTTCTGGGAATCATGCAGCTGCTTGAGAATTTGATTTTCCTCTCTTTGTGTCTTTAAACAAAACCACATGAATTCAGATTTTCAATGTTCATGCCACAGAAAGACTTTTATTAAAGGTTTCATGACTTTTCTAATGCACAGATGCAGCTCATGATTTGACAACATAATCATCAAGACTAAATCATTCCTACGAAAAAGAAAGAAACTCCTCTTGATGCCTCTGCTGAGGCTGACAGGCATTTCAATATTTGGAAAGGCACAATTCAAACTGCTGCCCCTTAAAACAGCCCATGACAGAGAGCAGTGAATATAGTGACAACTTCCATTAAGACAGAACTTGATTTCTTAAACAATGTTCGTATCATAGAATTAAAAAGTCAAAAGCAGGACACAGAAACCCAGAAGTCTCATTCTGGCATCCACCCAAGCACTCGTAAATGAGCAGCAATTAAGGCAGATATTTTAGGTGGTGTCGTGACTTCAAATAGGCATCACACCATTAGGAACACGAACTGCAGCAGTAGCTAAAGATATTCCCTTCAGAAGCTTCAAAGGTCAGGAGCTGAGCTTGATTCTTAGACCTCAGCATGCATTACCATCACATCTCTGCACAAACTCAACATCATCCTCCTCAAGCACCCATGGAGCATCCCATGCCCTTTAAAGGTTAAGGTTTCGTACCAGTGACCCATGTCCTCTCCTCCTCCCAATTCTGTAGTTTGTTGTCTTTCTGACAAGGGAATTTAAAGTTTAGGTACCACAGAGTAAAAGTTGTAGGAGCCTTAGATTTTACTCTTTCTTTCTTTGATAATTATGCGTCCGTTTCAATTTTGCAAGTCTTAAACAACTTTCAAGTAGTTCATATGACTTTGAAATTTCCACATCAAGTGAACTGGGAGGAGAGTCCCAGGAAAGTCCCACTGCCCTCACTATGTGGGAACAATACTTATCTTAGAGGCCGCCGGAAAATGCTCAAATTGGTAAAGAGAAAATACAAATTCTTACATGGTTGAATGAAAAATGTTCTTCAGAATTTAAAACAAATTGATCCTTAGTTTAGTCTGGTTTGGCTAGCACAAAACCTGCTTATTTCACGGTTTTGAAAGGGAAAGGCAGAAACAAATGTTTGTAAATACTCCCTGCACAATACAGAAACTGACTTTGCACTTAGTAACAACACAACTTACTAACATATACTACCTATTTTGCCTTTCAGTATTCGAGATGCTCCCAAAGCTGTATTGTTACAGTCTCAATGGAAATATTCTTAGAAGCTGTCTAGAGCTCCCCTACGTGACATTCCTCTTCTTGAGCCTGTACAAACTATCCTGCAGTTCTGTGTTTATAAAGCTACCTGCAAAGTAAAAGACTGGAACTGTTAACCTTCTGCTTTGGAATGTCCAGCAGATTCATTCATTTAAACAGTAACGTAAGGTTCCAGAGGAAAAGCTGGACACAGACACAGCAATAACCATACATTCCTTCCCTTGCTCCTCCCCTCAGCTCCCATTCTCACGCACTTCTCATAAATGCCCTGGATTTTTTTTGTTTAAAAACATTAGCAACATATGCCACTTAATTCCTTTGCCTATTCAAGCTCAGAGTCAAGCCTGAGAAACTCTGAGCTTATAACAATCATGAACTATTTAAAGCAGAGGATATTTCAGCAACAGAGAAACCTCTGGGCCAGACTCTCAGTTCTGTTTCCAGCTCCCCAGGACTCAGGACTGCTGAACAGTCCCTTTCCATAACGGAGATCCCTCAGGGGCTTCCTTCAAGCTCTGGTTGTGTAACTTAGCTGCTGAAGCAATCTCTACCTCTTTTCCCTGCTCTCCACGCTCATTTTCTATTAGATCACTCTCCTGGATCACAGGGCAGTCATGCACAGGGTGCAGGGGGCAGCATGAGAGTCTGCACACAGGGATGGCTGCTCCAGCCAGGCTTGTGGCCAAACCCAAGGATGTCAGAGCCACCATGCTCAAATGGTTTTAGACTGATTGCCTGGGAAATAATAAATATTAGAAGCCATCTCACTCTGTTGAATTCATTCTGTACAATCTGTGCCCTGTGCCCCTTGGCTCCCAAGCATAATTTCTGCTCTTATCCATGTTCACAACGGCCCCTTTGTTCCTCATCCCACCCCACCAAGTCCACTCATGTCCCTTCTTCTCCCCTGCCCTCCAGCCACCACCCCCTCAAGCCTTTCATGTTCCCTCTGTGTCTCAACTCCCATCAGGCAAAATGCCATGTAGCTGACCATCCCAGAGACCTAACAACCCTCAGTAACTCTTTTTCTGGGGCTCTGCTCTATGTGCCTCTCCTCAGAAGCAACATCAACCCAAGCAGCGACTCTGCAGCTGCTCTGCCACATCTGCACACAACATGGTTACAAGCATTGTGATCAGAGACCTGCTCCAGCTGAAGAGGGAAAACCCTCAACAGCCTCCTAACCTGCCTGCCACAGGCCTGGAGGAGAATACACACTGACAGCCACAACAGCATTAACCTGAGCCTCCCTTTACCCAGGCATCTAATTCAAACTCAGAGATGGTCATCTTTTAAGATTTTTTTTCCCTGCAATGCCAAATTTGGTTTAAATTGTGCAATATTATCATTTAAGCCTTGATTATTTTTTAGCAGATGGGGCTACCAGATCCTTGGCTGATACTACTAAGAGAAAGGTGAACTCTGAGCTTTTTACCTAATTTCAAATTTTAACTCAATTTTCTAAGAGCCTTCCTTCCTAAAGGGAGATACACAGGAACAGTCAAACCATGGGATGAACAAGCCCATAACTTGCCAACCAGGTCCAAGGCAGACATCCTTACTTTTCACAGAAGTTACTTGATCAATATTTCACTTACAAAACCTACTTCTCCACCTTCACTTACAGCTGTAACTGGTGCTACAGGAAACAGAAATTTTTCACTCTATTATTTCCTTCAGTCTTCCCGCAAAACATTCTGGGGAAAAGCCTCATGGGAAAGAACAAAAGACAGTGATGAGTGCTCTGGCATTTATCAGAAGAGGATGGAAGGCAAAATACTGAAAAGAACCAAACAGTGGCACGACAAGGAGAAGGGAGTGACGGGAAACGGCCAAAGGAAAGTTAAGGCAGAGAGCCGATGGGGCTGAGGAGGGACGAGAGAGCTAAAATTAGAAGCTGTTACTACGAGGAGTGATAAGAAAACACCAAAGCCAAATGAGCTAGGAATCTACTCAACGTGAGACGAGTATTCCATCTGCTCTCCACCCCTCGCTCACAAAACGCATATCCCTCAATACTCTACAAACACAGGATTTTAACCCAGACCGAGCGCTCGGGGAAGGCGAGACAGGGCTCAGGGCGAGCACAGCTCCCTCGGGAGCCTCGTCCTGTCCCCCCCGCGCGGGGGAGGACTCAG